GTTTAAATTAGTTTTATGCCAATGAATATTGTACTTTTTTTACTTTGTAATGAAGTAACCATTACCTGCCACTATTACCAGTGTTGCTTTGTGGTATGTTTTCATATTCATCTCTGATAAAACCAAAAACATGGAAGATTCCCTCCAAACAACTGAAAGGTTTAAAATAACAGTTGCTGAATCTGAGAGACTGGAATTTGCTATGCATATAATTGTAGTGATATTCTATTATTTAATGCTTATATTTTTGAATCTACGGCTATGCTTAGAAATGCAGTTATTTTATTTTACTTAAGCCTCATTTCATTCAAGAAGTCAGCATGTCATACAGCACAGAATCTATTTCTTCACCAAATGGTGAAGAATTTCTTATGAATTTCATAGATGAGGACAGACTTGAACCTAGATCCTAAGAGACCTTATCCAACACTTTAACTACTGCATGACACTGACTCTCTTTGTGTATATGTGTGTGTGTGTGTGTGTGTGTGTGTGTGTGTGTGTACGCACGCATGCGCATGTACACGCATGCACATCTTTAAGTCCATGTCAGTGACTGGAGTCTTCTTGCCAAGATTTCAAAAATGATTTCCAATTATCTGCTTCCTAGAGTTGAAGTCACCCAGTTTACTTTGTGCCTAAAACAGGACTAGAACTCACAATCTCCAGGTTTCTAGCCTGATGCCTTAACTGCTCCACCAAATTGGCTTTCCTGATTTTCATTAGAAAAGAGTATTTTAGAAACCTACTGTGGCTGTCACTTTGGTTTGTCTTCCTCTCAATCATACATACACAGAAAGATGCACTGTGTGGGTGTATTTTACATATTAATTTTCCGTAGAAAAATTGCTGTGAATATGCTTGGCAAATTAAAAAAATGTTCTGTTGCCCAACATCCTCTTTCAATAATTGAGAAGCTTTGAAGACAAGACAGGCAAGACCAATTTCACATCCTAATGCCAGGCAGCTGAGTTTCCTTGAAACTTCAGCACTTTTACATCTATTCCGTGTGAAAAATTCTTGGGTGTCTATATTGTAGTTATATGAGATAAGCTTTTCCTTAGCCTTCATCTGACACTATGATTAAAAGTTAGGTGCCTGATAGGACAAAAATTTTTTGAAGACAACTAATAGATTGAAGTTGTTTTGTTCTATGGGCTGTCATAGATGCCTGATAGGCCATGTTTTCATTTCATTGCAGAATGTTTGCTGATGTCTGAAAGGATGAATGTTCAGAACAATTTTTTTTCATGAGGTTATTTGTGCTTTTCCCAGTCTGATGCCCCTTAGTTGCATTTCACTGCAACTCACATGATCTCAAAACAATATGTTGGCTAGTATGGTTATTCACTATGCTTGTAGAGAAGGTGGTTGCATTGCAACTTCAGAGGACTTTGCAAGAAGCAAATATCTGGGCCTCATTCAGTCAAGCTTCAGGCTTGGGTAAAATACTATGGTGGCATTGGTTGTACTCTTGGATGACCTCTGGTGGGATCAAGATGGGAATGGTGCATCCATATTTCTTTTCTTGACCACTCAGTGGTTTTCAGTACTATCGACCATGGTATCTTTCTGGACTGACTTTGGAGGTTGGCAGTGAGCAGCATGGAGTTGTGCTTGTTCTCCTTCTTCTTCTGGGATTGTTTCCAGTCAGAGTTGATAGGCTGACATCACTTCAGGACTCAGTATTTCTCTCTTATAGTACACTCTCTTTTCCTATTTAACATCCACATGAAATTGTTGGATAAGATCATCTACTGGGTGAGGTCAACTGACAGTTTAGGGTGAGATACTATCAATATTCTGATGATAACCAACTTCATATCTTCACTCCAGGCTACCTGACTGATGCTATGGAGATTCTATCTCAGAGACTGGCCTGGATGGGTTGTCACAGGCTTCAGCTTAACCCAAGGAAGACAGAATGGCTCTGGGGTTTGGACCTCTTGGTTCTAGGAACCTTCCATTTTAATGGCACTGCCCCAGAAAGACCTGGTACACAACCACAACCCCCAGTTCCTGCTTGAAGACAACATTCTTTGTATAGGAAGGCCTTTGCACAGTGTAGATAGTTGCACTCGTTCCTGGACTGGGGGAGGGGGGCTCTGCTCATAATCACTCATGCCCTTGTGACCTCCATATTGGACTAATGTAATTCACTTTATATATCGTTTCCCTTGTTGAAGAGAATTGAGAAGCTTTAGCTGGTGCAAAATGTAGCAGTGCAGGAAGTTACTGGTGCCAGTTACTTGGCAGGTGTGATACCACTGAGGGTTCCAGAGTGCTCTTAAGTGCAATTCAAGCTGCTGGTGTCACCTTTAAAGCCCTTCATTGCTTAGGACCATCTTTCTCCAGTTGTTCCTACTTGGCCTATCTGATCTGGAAAGACTGATGTGATATCCACGCATTCAAAAGCCACCTGAAACATGCATTTCTTCGATTAAAAAAAATTTTTTTTTGATACTGACTAGCTTTTAAAGAATAGGCAACTTCATTCACATTCTGTAACAACATTGGTTTATTATGATGTCCACAACTATGGCAACTATGCCGATAAAGATGTAGCCATTTTAAGATTTTTTCATTTTTTCCTTCTTATATCCTTTCCTTCCTTTTTTTTTTTTTAAAAAAAATGGGTTTGTTATTAGTTGTCTTAAATTATATTCTTCTTTCACTTTTTTGAGACTAAGTTCCAGTAAACCTAATGTAACTTACATCTGAATGGACACTATGGAGCTGTACTCATTTTTATATGTGATTAAATATCATTAAATACAATAGATATATTTCTGAAAATGTGTGTGTGTGTGTGTGTGTGTGTGTGTGTGTGTGTGTGAGAGAGAGAGAGAGAGAGAGAGAGAGAGAGAGAGAGAGAGAGAGAGATTGTATTTTTTAAAAAAAAATATTTGAAATGTTGTTTTGTTAACAGAATGTGATGAAATTTACTGTGATGGTAGCTCCTGTATGTGAAACATTAATTTCCATATGCCAAGTTTGGACTAATAGGTTGACACAATTTGGTACAAAGGGAAGACATGTTTGTAGGATATTATGCTTCCTGTTCTGTCATGGAACTGATTATTAGGGAAGATTGAAATATAAGAGATAATTCACTGTTTTTGATGACATTGTTGTGTATGTCTTTGGGTGTGTAATTTGCCAAAAAACAAACCAGTCTATAGCCTAGGTCAGCTTGTTCACAAAACCCTTTTTACACATGGCAACACAGGCAACAAAGAGAAGGATTATTTTCAATTTATTTTAAGCCAGACTACAAAACGAACTCTGCAAGTGATTTTAGAACTATATTTTTTTTGATAAAGACTCCAGTAATAGCATCTTGAAAGACTGATGGCCTTTCCCCTTTCTTATACTCCATGAGGTATAGCCACTCTGCGGGTTTTTTTTCCTAATGTTTTTTGTCTGTTCACTTGCTTGTTTGTTTCCCCATCTTAAAACATGTTTTGTAACCATTTCAGCAGAGTTTCTTCAAAGCTGACCATAAAAGCAAAACCCTTTTAACACCCAAGATCAACACCAATATACTGCAACTGAGAATCATTGTAAGAGTATTCCCAAATTTCACTCTGATTATTAGTCATAGTTTTGTGTAAAAGAAACAGAATTATCTAGTCAACCCTGGGACAAAGAAAATCTATTTTGAATTAACCTCTTTGGGTTATGCTGAATCTTGTGCACATCACCATTAATATTAGTTTTTTAATGTGTACTATATATTAAGGAGCCCTTGATGATTTAATAGAAGAATAAGCTCATAGGAATGAAATATAATAATCAAAAATTAAGTAAGCATAGATATTTTCGGTAATTTCTTCTCAGCAGTCTCCTTTCTTATTGTTATCCCAAGCTCTCTGTAAAACAACTGGAACATAAAAGAGCTTTTGATTATATTCCCTGCCAAGTTTGTTTAAAGTCAATTGTCACATAGCTCTGAACAGCTATTTTAATAGCATGATGGATGTTCATTACCTCAAGTGAATGTCTTAATATTTGTGAGTATATTGTGACTGTATGGATGTCAACCTGTGGAAAGATTAAAGTATGTGAGTCAAAGGATACTGCTTATGGTGTGAAGTAATTAGTAGCATTATTGTAATATGAATATGTGCTGTAGTTATGATTCTTCAATTTTTCATAATAGAATCTGTCTACACAAGAAGCTTTCATTACTTATTATTTTCTGCCTGACAAAGGAAGGAAAAAATGAATACGAAAAAGTTGATTCATTTGATACAGCTGGATAGAACCCAATAAATTACACTACACTGTTATCAGTGTACTAAAAGGGAGCAACAAGGACATGAATATCACTGTATAAGTAGTAAAAAGACACTTTTAATCAGAAGTACTTACATCAGAAACTATGCAGAATGTGGCAAATGATTTTAATATTTGGTTGTAAAATAATTATGCCAGTTTAATATCCATATGTTGTAATTTAAAGTCTTTTTAATCATTTTATCCCCCCCACCAGACTTTCCATGAGAAACTTTCTGAGATGATGAAACAAAATGAAAAGCATTTCATTTTATATGTGGAAAATGTGTTATTTAGAAATATATAGAGAATTGACAATAGCAAATGTGATCCCTGATTAGGGATCACTAGGGATCATATTAATTTCTAGAATGATAAGATTGGAAGATATTGGAGGTCTTCTAGTCCAAATTCCCAGCAAGAGCTGGAATCCCCAGACTATCACAGAAAAATGGCAGCCCAACTAAAAAGTTGAAAATTTCCAATCATGGAGCATCCATGACTCCAGAAGGCAGTCAGTTCCAAAATCTATGAATCTATTTTGTTTCCTCAGTTTTATCCAGACAGCGATCAGAAGTAGTTATTTGATCACACAGGATCAAATGTGTGTAATGTCAATGGCAATTTCATTTATCCGAATAATTTTTTGTCATATTCATTTATATGCCACAAATGTGTTATCTAGTGAGAGCTAAACATGCCCTTTTTTAATTTCTAACTAGGTATTAAAATAAGCTTTAAAACTGCAGAACTTGATGGTCTACTTTTTCTCTGTATGTCACCTGGTAATCAAGAAGAATACACTGTCCTTCAGTTGAGAAGAGGCCGTCCTTACTTTCTCTTTGATCCACAGGTAAAATAGTGAAAGTTTTATAGCTATTTTTAATAATACAGTAGAGTGTGTGTGTGTGTGTGTGTGTGTGTGTGTGTGTGTGTGTACTTGCTCTTTCCCTGCTTCTCATAAGAGATTAATATAGAGGTTAGGGTTAGGGTTTATGAAATAGTTACAATAAATTCTCCCCCCCCCTCTCTCTCTCTGTAATTTTATAACTATAGTTGTATCAATAGTATCATTATAAAATCCAAATAACAACTATGCATTAATAGTGTCCAAATACACCCTATGTCCTCCTGTCCTCCTTATTAGTCTCCAAGGACTTGCCTGGGGTACGATTTTGCCAACTCAGTTTGTCAAAATGGATGCAAACATATGTCTAGTATTCCTTGTCTACCAACATCACTTCAACTGTTTCTTCTCCTACTTCATTTCCTAAAGTTTCTCTGTAATCCAGAATCAGTATACAGGTTAAAATGTTCTGGGACAATTCCATCAAGAGCCCCTGTTACATTTTGTTCCAGAGGGTGATTAAAATCTCAATAAAATGGCTCTCATCTCATTTTGAAGTTGTCCATGTAACTTGTGAAATAAAAATAATATTTAGATTTACTGTATATACCACTTCACAGTGCTTTACAGCCCTCTCTAAGCAGTTTACAGAATCAGCATATTTCCCCCATTTTACCAACCTCAGAAGGAGGGAAGACTTAGTCAACCTTCAGCTGGTGAGACTTGAACTGCCAAACTGCAGACAGCCAGCAGTCTGCAGAAGTAGCCTGTAGTACTGCATTCTAACCACTGCGGCACCATGGCTCCAACTGAATCCATCTGATACCTGAGATAAACAGACTACAGAATTGTGACACTGGTCAACCCTATACTCACCAGAAATAGTCTGTCCATAAGAACTAAAAAAGCTGTTGAGACTGTAGAAAGACTGCAGAGAACAGCAACAAAGATGATTAGGGGACTGGAGGCTAAAACATATGAAGAACAGTTGTAGGAACTGGGTATGTCTAGTTTAATGAAGAAAGGGACTAGGGGAGACATGATAGCAATGTTCCAATATCTCAGGAGTTGCCACAAAGAAGACGGAGTCAAACTATTCTTCAAATCACCTGAGGGTAGAACAAGAAGCAATGGGTGGAAACTAATCAAGGAGAGAAGCAATTTAGAACTAAGGAGAAATTTTTTGACAGTTAGAACAATTAATAAGTGGAACAACTTGCCTGCAGAAGTTATGAATGCCCCAACACTGGACATTTTTAAGAAGATGTTGGATAACCATTTGTCTGAAGTGGTTTAGGGTTTCCTGCCTGGGCAGGGGGTTGGACTAGAAGACCTCCAAGGTCCCTTCCAACTCTGTTATTTTATTCTATTCTATTCTAAATGACTCATTTTTATATCTATCATCCCCAGATCATAACTGCTTTAAGGTATAAATCAAATCTAATGTGTGACTTCGCACATTGTGTGTCAGGAATGTAATGATCTGACTTAAGCCTATGGCATATGGCAATAGCTCAGGTCCTGAGCTATTCAAAAACCTGCCTACAGGGCTGGCAAGGTGAAATCAACCATTACTAGCATCCTGGATTTGATGAACCCATGGTTCTTCTACTGTATACTCTGTTTCCAGTAATAGAATCCAATATCTAGCAAAATAATTCAGGAAAATAGATAAATAAAGCATGAACAGTAAGGAGTTATTCTTTTGTCAGACCTGATGTATATTACATGGAATCTTTTTCCAAAGTAGTGTCCTCCAGACATACTAGTATACAACTTTCAGAATTACTAACTAGCATAGCTCTGGAGTATTTTGTCTGGCAATTTATGAAGGCCCAGGTTGAGGAGCGTGGCTCTATTGTAGTATCTTGGATATATCTATCCTGTATAAAGATCATAGTGTTTTCAGTAGATATACAGTTGTCTGGTAAAATAATCTGTGACCTACCAAATAATGCGAAAACTCGCACATTAGAAAGCATCACAAATAATCTAATAGAAGCCTATTCAGCAAGCAGCATCACTGGGTTAATTTATCTGAACTCAGAAGCTGAGAAGCATTGGGGCTTAGTTACTACCAGGGTGGGAGACACAGAGGGAATATCATAGTGTAGACTAGACTGCATAGTTGAAAAATCCCAGAAGACAGAAGCAAACTTTTTTGGATTGCTGCCAAGAAACAGCATGATTTGATCTGTGTAATCACCAGGAATTAATCTCAGCTCAAGGAGACATTTTCATAGGAACAGTCTTTTTACAAACATTTCTCTTTTGCTTTTATCTTTCATAGTAAAAAGCTAAAGTTTTTCTCAAGTAAAATTCTACTCTTAGTGGTTTCATGGACATTTCCAGGTACTGAAATGTGAAAATATTCCAAATTTCAATGGCAAACCTTCAGTAGCACAATATTAGGATTTTTTAAAGGCGCTAATGTGCTATCATCAGAAGCAAAACTACCCCTACAATATGAAAGGAAATAATCGAATTAGTTATGCAGCTTATATTTTGAAATAAAGTCTTATTAGATTTTATTTCCATTCTGTAAGTTTAAATAGTATATAGAAGACATGCATTTACGTTCATGTATAATTTTCTTCAACATATTATGTCATACTAATTTTTGCAGGCAAGATAAATAGATAGAGCATGCATTCCATGGTATCTGGGTTGTATCTTAGTCACATGGTACATTACAAAATTCAGGAATACATGAAATTGAAAAATAACTTTATTCTAGTCCACATATTATTTGGGCAAATGCAAATTCAATTGATTCACTTAAAATGTGGATTTAAAAATGATTCCCATTCTTAGTACTGCATGTTTTCAAGTGCAACTTGCTTTCTACTTGGTCCAGACAAGAGAAAGCTAGAGATTTCACCAAAAATGATCAACATATAGCTATAATTTGTGTAATGTCTACTCTTGTTAATTTGTGCAGCAACTTGCTTAAGATACTTAAATGTGTTTATGGATGAAAGCCTTCTACTTCAAAGCAATTTCTATTAAAGATGATTGCAGTGTTGCAAAGTAAATGGATTGCGGACTGTAGACAAATTCAGCTTTCCACATGCTACAGAAACACTGGAAGGAATACAGATCAAAACTACAGACGTTGCTTCCATATTTACACTGTGTTTGGCATATGTGATTATATAATTTGAAATTGAGAACTTACATATGTGATTTTAGATAAATAACACATAATACTCCAGATTGTTGCCAAAATATATAAAGAATCACTTTTGTAGACACCTGATCTTTGGCATGCAGCATCGTTTGTAACAATTTTAACGCTAACTAAGTACACTTTGATGAGACAGCATTTAATAAAATGCTCATTAATTTCATCATTAGCAAGGGTATGCTAAGAAGTAAGCCAGTTTCTTATGTCACGCCCAATTAGCATCCCATGCTAGTAATCCCATTAGTATTGTTGAATTCACTAATGGAAAAACTAATGGGCATGCTACCAGGGCACATTAATTGGGCATGACACCAGTTCTGGTTTTAATTATTAAACTATGATAATGAAATGTGTGTTTGTAAAATATTAAAATGTTGAAATAGGGTGGAAGACAATAAAAATAGTGTATGAATAGAACATGAGCTGATTCGTAAAATGCATTATCATGGAATGGATAACTTTTCTATACCTAATATATGCTTACTAAGATAGCATCAAGTTTTAAAATACCTGATGAATCAACCTAAACTACCCTATGGCAGTTGTGAAGTTTTCCACTAGTGCACTGAATTTCAGAGAATTAATGCTTATGGGAAATATCACAAAGTTCTGAGCATACTATGAACTAAACAATTTAGGTGACAGAAACATCACAAAGAACACAGAGGTGACACCTCCCCTCCAATTAATTATATTAGAGATGCTTATAATTATTTCTGTACTTCTAGAATTTTAGATTAATGCATTTCGAGAATATTCCTACAATAAAGATAAATAACAGCAAACTTTAAGCACAGGTTTGAGGATATGTGATAGCTGCAGATAATATGCTCTGTTAAATATGTTAAATATATTTTGGGCATTTCTCAGCTGTTGAAATTGTGACAACTGTTGCCCATTTTTAATTGCTGGATAATTTATTTTCTGCAAAAAATATAAATAATGTAAATTTAAATTAATTGCCATTCATTGTAAATGACAAACTTTAAACTAAGAATGCTTCTGTATCAACTAAAGTAGCTTAAGGCACTCAAAAATTAATTGTATTGATTGTAAATCATGTATTCACTCTGTTTCCTGTTCTAAGGAGTATTTTTATGTTTGCATCTGTTTTTTCATAGCTTCACCAAATTTAAAATGTATGTATGTGTATGCGTGTGTGTATGTATGTGTCACATACATACAGATTATTAGATCAAGATGTTTGTGTAAAGGCTTATAATTATGGATAGAAACTTAATATGAAATTCTCATATACAAATTAAGTATCACTTTCAAATGTCAAATGCTCACTTTTGATCCATAACTAGCTTCTACATGTCTTTTGAAGAGAATGCTCCTTTTCAAGATAGTAGGCACAATGCCATAAAAAATTGTTCATAAATAATCTGTGGAATGTTTTTTAAAAATAGTGTTAAAATATATCTTTATATATGATCTTTTGTGCCTTTGGATAGGGAACTAAGACCCACATTCTTTCACTTCCTACATTCATATAATCTAGTCTGCAAAATTAAAGCAAAATCAGACCTGGGAAGTATTTTGATAGAAAACCAACAGGAAGTATGAGCACTACACACTAGACAGTGAGATTGAGAAAAAAAGTCCATCTCGATAATCACTTCCATCAACCTTGGGTCTGCTGCTCTTCTGATTCCAACCCACTTTAGAGGGTTGCTAATGTAAGGATAAAATGTTGAGAGATCCCCGTATAGCCTGCGTTGAAGTTCTGAAGGAAAGATGGAACATAAATAAATAGAAACAAGTATTTTAATTACTTTTTAAAATGTGGATCACAGTTGGATCACAGTTCCACATGATGAGCAGGTGTTAGCTGTTGCTTGGAAGGCATTTCCACAGCCTCATATGGTATACAACTTGGACCATCTCCTGGATTGGGAAGGCCAGTCACTCATTCTTTACCCTCATGTGGAAATTGCAGCTGGTTCAGAATGCAGTGGCAAGAACACTGGTGGGCATGCCTCCATATGCCATGTGTCATTCCTGCTCCTCAAGTTGCACTGATTACTAGTTAGCCTCTAGATTCTGGTTATAACCTATAAATTCTATATATTTTTATTTATTTATTTATTTGTCAAGCATATATAAGATAGCAGGTAAAAGTATAAACATAATTTGAATACATGAAAAGAGTAAGAGTAAAAAGGAATATTAGGACAGGGACGGAAGGCACACTGGTGCACTTACGCATGCCCCTTACAGACCTCTTAGGAATGGGGTGAGGTCAACAGTAGACAGTTTAAGGTTAAAGGTTTGGGGGTTTGGGGAAGAAACCACAGAGTCAGGTAGTGCATTCGAGGCATTGTCCACTCTGTTACTGAAGTCATATTTTCTGCAATCGAGTTTGGAGCAGTTTACCTTGAGTTTGTATTTATTATTTGCTCGTGTATTGTTGTGGTTGAAGCTGAACTAGTCATTGGCAGGTAGGACATTGTGGCAGATAATTTTATGGTGTCCTTTCAGCCAATGTGAGCCATCATATTCAATGATCCACATTTCTTTCTATATATTTTGGGACCCTAGAAGCATATCTCTTCTGTCACAGTAGCCTCCCACTGGAATACGGTTCTCCTTAGATCCCACCATAATGGTGTTCCAGGGGATTTAAAAACCTCACTGTTCTCCCAAATTCAGGGCTAGGGTGAATTGTGAAATGTATTTGCAAATATTTTCTATATTATTGGCCAAATTCACTATTTTGTATATGTGTGTCTTAATATTATTTTTAGAAATCCTTAAATTCCTATATAAAAAATATTGTTTCTTCTCTTATTCATATTGTATTTTATTTTGTTGGTTCTACTGTGAGCTACTCAGAGTCATTCTGGAGTTGTGTAATGCTTAAATCACAATCATAATTGTTTTAATTATTATAGGGTTCTGCTATTTCTGTAACTCCAGAAAATGATGGTGGAAGGCAGTATAATGATAACAACTGGCATCATATAAGTGCAATAAGAAATGAAGCCTTAGGAACAATAATTATAGATGGGCAATTCTCAGGTAATGGACTCATTACAATCAATTTAATTTTCTGAAGAGTTTCTTCCACCCATTATTTCTAAGCTATTCTATGAATGTTTATCTTATGATTATACTATTATACTACTATATTTATACTATTAATGTTGTTTGTATTTTTTGTCATGGATTTCACCAGTGAGGCTGAAACCAATTTCGTTGCATACATGATATACAATGACAATAAAGGCTATACTATACTATTATTTTCTCTGTTTCTTATAATTTTGTATGCTTTCTACCAGGCTAGCACACTTTTCTGAGATCAGGTTTTTTGGTCTTATAATTTGTTTTATCTGTAAAACTAAAACTGTAATTTTGATTCAGCATATTCTAGTTCATTTTTTCCCCCATATTTTTCAAACTATTATTTTTAGGTTCCTCAGAAGCTACAAGTGGTAGTACCATTATAGGAGAAAATACAGGAATTTTTGTTGGAGGACTTCCACAAGACTTTATAATTGAAAGGAAAGACGTAGGTGAGAAGATTATATTAGATGACTCTTAGAACTCATTCTAAGAATTAACAATGACATTTTTTGTTGTGTATAGTTAAGCATTACAGCGCAGATGCCCTTTCCCCACCACTTCTTCACATGCAAACATCTTTATCCATTTTACTAAATATTCAGAAGTTGATTTTCTGCAACTGTTCTTCTTTTAGTATCTTGGAAGGTATTATTTCTTTTACAAAGTCTGATTTCTTCAGTACTGCTTGCTGAGATTTGTGAGTGTGAGCATACTACTGTACACAAAGAACAACTTTACAGCATAGTAGCTAAAGAAATAATCATCATATAAATGTAAAGTATAAAATCCTTCACAACATTTTTTGTTTTGTTTTGCTGCTGCAACAATATTTTGTTTGGGATCAAATCTGAAAATTGTTACCAACAGAAAAGTGTGGAAGGGGGAACTGTCCTGCGAATGCAAGAATGGACATAATTTGGGAAGGATTCTCTTCATTTTGAAATTCTAGTAACTTTACTGTTTGTTTGTTTATTTATTTATTCATTAATCAGGCCCAACTAAAATAGTCACAAAGGGATTTGTGGGGTGTCTCCGCGATATCTTCTTGCAAAAGATGCACCATCCCTATGAAGCCTGGGAACCTTTAAAATGGGAAAAAGCAGTGGAGCAAAGAAATGTTTATCACAATTGGGAAGGTTGTCCTACTTGCCTTGAAGATGGAGCACACTTTCTTGGGAAAGGTATAATCATATGGTAAAATTATTAGAAACAGTTGTTTTAGATAAAAGAATATTGTTCCAACTCTGGAGGTTTTTAAGAAGAGATTGTATTAAGTTAAACTCAGTGAAAACTGAAAAATCCAATATTTTTCAAAATATATGAAATTTATAAAAAAGAAAAAATCATATGAAAATCAGCCAAAGTGTAATAGGCTTGTAAGAACAGAGGGATGGAGACAAATGAATATGAAAAGACATCTGCCTATCTTCAATAGTTTCTCTTTATTTTAGAAGGGTAACGGTTCTACTGAAGTTAAAAAGAATGGATATTTTTTCATGTATAAGGCTAATATGTATGTGTTGTTAATATAGGTAGGCTGAATTATAGATTGAGTATACATATCTTACAGGATATGCTTGAAAACCTAGATCTGCATTCCTTACAATTATATGCAATTCCATGCATGATTCATATTAAATTTTATTTTCACTTATAGTAACTATACTATAACATTCTTGCCTTTCTCATTAAGGTTTCCTAGAACTCCATTCAAATATTTTTCGTGGTGGCATGGATTTTGAAATCTCCTTTATGTTTAAAACAGATCAATTCAGTGGATTACTTCTGTTCATTTACAACAAAGATGGGCCTGATTACATTGCTGTAGGTTTGTTTGTTGTTTTTGCCTGGTTGCTTTGCTTATTTGGTTTAATTGTCAATTGCTGTACGCAGGATACATACAATTTTTTAATGAAATATTTTTATATTTTTGAATGGCCAGTTGAGGTCACTTGTGGCATACATACGTTTTAATTCAATTTTAAATTGTAGAAATGTCTCTGGCTTGTAAAAAAAATGAAAGAAACAGACATACATAGAGGCACAAATTGATCCCATTCCAGTTCTCTTAAGAACTGCAGACAGCTGATGGCATATGTCCTGTTGAACTGACTTTGGATATTCTCATTTTATCTTAAAAATGAAATACTATGCAAAAAAGAATGTACTCTACAAATTCAATCTGAGAAAAAAATGTGTATATCTCAAAAGCTTAGATTTTGCTTTTCAAACCCAATAACCTCAGTGGAATTTTAATCTCTTGCATTGTTTTTTAGTTTCTTGTCCTGGAAATTCAATACAGCCACTGAGACTTGGAACTATATTCCTTAAAAAGCACTACACTTTTGAATGGTTTACATTCAGATGCTAGATTGGTTTTGTTTTCCTGCAATCATCAATCTTTTCTTTCTTTCTTTCTTTCTTTCTTTCTCTCTCTCTCTCTCTCTCTCTCTTTCTCTCTTCTGTTTTAACTTCAAATGGCAGGCAGAACTGAAAAGTGGAAGTCTGATTTTCCTACTAAATAATGGTATTGTCTCCACACACGTGAATCTCTGGTTAGGACTATCTTACTGTGATGGAAAGTGGAATAAAATTATTTTGTCAAAAAGAGGATCGGTAGCTTCAGCAAAGATGAATGAATGGACAGACCATGTGATGGAACCTGATTTGGAGCAGCTATTTGTAAACTCTCCAGCCTACCTTGGAGGGATTCCAGTTGAGGTCCAAGAAGCATTTAAGGAGCTGGGCTTAGAACAGGGTGTGTACTACATGGAGAGTAGGAAGAGGTTGCACATAAATAACATGGTGCACATATTTATTGGAAATGTTTATAGCTTGAATCAAAGTTTGCATGGGGACGTGGAAAGAGAAATCAGCAAATTTCCCTTTGATTTGTGTATAAATGGAAATGTATCCATGCATCTTGCATCCCCTCTTGTATGTTTAAGTAATATTTATGTAATTACTTAAATAGGACCACTTAGTATGTTACATTGAATTCCATGTTACTTTTTAAAATTAAATAATTAATTATGTTTATTATACTATTATTCATACTTAGGTTTAACCAATGTAACTAACAATAAATATTTCAAAGCTACACATACAAATAAACAATCTCTGGTGTAGAGATGTTTTGTTCAAGAATAATTTTAAATAAATTTACTTAATTTATAAATAATACATAATATCATATACATGCCAATTCAGAATGCCAGCCTGGTGTAATGGTTAAAGCACCAGGCTAGAATCCCTGAGCTGCTGAGTTCAAGTCCCATCTTGGACACAAAACCTGCACAGTAATTTTAGGCCAGTCACTCTTTCTCAGTTCTAGGAAGCAGCCAAGAAGAAATCAAATCTTGCCAAGAAAACTGCAGGGTTGAGAGTCCAGGCAGCTGCCAGGAGATAACGCTGACTTGACATATTAGAACTCCAGAAATGTATACTTATTCTTTGTTGAAAAGGTTTCTGACTTCTCCAAAGTCAGAAGGTTGGTAGATGTTACTAGGTCACCTGTAACTCTGATAGTAAATACTGGGCAGAATGGGCATTATATCTTTAAATGGTAGGGCAGCTCGATGCCTAATACAGATACAGCCTTTTAGGTCCCTAGCACTTAAATATCTGAACAACATGTCAACGCCAAAATTTAGTCAGTGTTCTTTAAAAAAAAATAAAACTATGGGAAAATAATATGCCTAAGTAAGTAACAATGATACTCCGCACATATCCAAACTCAAACTTTCTATACAATTAATGCAGTTGAAATCCCGCAAAAGAACATCCTCTATGATAATAAAAGAATGAATCACAAATCACATTAATTTGTATTTGTATTTGAGCTACAATTTCAAAATCAATCCTTTTGCATGTTTTATTTGCTGACCCTCCCCAAAGGTAGCATGAAGCAAAAATGTTATATAGCCTAACAGACATATATAGAAAGAAACATAATCTAAAGTTTAACGTTTAAACTGTACAACTGTACAACTAAAATGTAGCACTGTAAGAAGTAAAACGTGCTTTTTAATTAACAGCTGAAGCCCTTTACCTGCTGCTAATTCCCTTACTATTTGCTAGGTTTTGGAGGCTGCATGAAGGATGTTAAATTTACACGAAGTGCTGTCGTTAACTTGGCATCTGTGTCCAGCAGTGCTGTCAGAGTCAATCTGGATGGATGCCTATCAACTGACAGTGCTGTAAACTGCAGGGGAAATGACTCCATCTTAGTGTATCAAGGAAAAGAGAAACATGTATATGATAATGGCCTGCAACCATTTACAGGTACCACAGTGGCTCCTTCCTTATAGGTATAGTTTTTGTTCACTTTGCAGTTATTCTATATTAATATCTCTCTCTCTCTCTCTCTCTCTCTCTCTCCCTCTCTCTCTCTCTCTCTCTCTCTCTCTCTCTCTCTCTCTCTCTCTCTCTCTCTCTCTCTCTCTCTCTCATGTCCTCTCTGCCCCTTCCTCCCTCAAGAATATTTATATCGGGTAATTGCTTCTAATGAAGGAGGATCTGTATCTAGTGCCTGGAGCCGGAGCCGCACAAGAGAATCAGGTAATTAATGTTTCTGCATAGTGTTCCCATATGAAGTCTTTATTTAGGTTGCCAATATGTCAGTATAGACATATTTAGATTGGCACTAGCAAAACACAGTAAGTAAGTAATGCAGAATTGTTCTCTAAATGCTGTGAATTTTACAGTTTTGCTGTCTGCGGACTGGTAACATACAAGTAAGGGAGCCAGGATTTGGACATTCTGGGTTTTTTTTTCCTTTAGATTTTTATCCTATCTTTTATTTTTCAAGGCAACAAACATACCACTACTTTTTCCTCCCATATTTTTCCTCACAATAACTTTGTGAGGTGAATTGGGTTGAGCCAGAGTGACTGGCGCATGGTCACACTGCTGGCTTTCATGTCTAGGGTGGGACTAGACCAAAAGCTTTGCCATTACACCAAACTGTCTCCCCTTACTTGTGCCTTACACTTTTGTCTTACTTTTACAAAAGTAATAACAAAATTCCATAAATGTATGAGATCCTTTGCTTTTTCTATCCTACCCACTGCCCAATATTGATCATATTTCTTTGGGGGTTTCTGAGTTCAATTATTCTGACAAGCAAAGTCAAAGGGGAAGCCAGATTCACTTAACAACTATGTTACTAATTTAACAATTGCAGCGATTCACTTAATAACTGTGGCAAGAAAGGATGTAAAATGGGGTAGAACTCAATAATTGTCTTGCTTAGCAATGGAATTTTGGGATCAATTATGATCATAAATTGACAATTACCTGTACTCAAGATGATTAAGAGAAAATATTACCCTCTCAATCTAAAAAGTTTAAAAAGTAATTTAAAATGACTATTAAAGTAAACACTAAAATCATTTAAACAAATAATTCAGAAGGGATGATTCAGAAGGGATCACCTAATATGGAAAAGCATTTCTTCCCACAGCTATCTTCTCAGTCTATTTGAAAGAGGTAATAAAAGTGCATAAGTCACAAAAGCTGATTTCAACATGTTTTTGTCAAAGCAAAATGTTTTTACTTGCAGATGTTTTGCTTATACAGCTTAATGCCACCATGTGGTCAACCATCCCAAAGCGAGTAAATGCAGCCATATTTTTGTCCTAATTGTCTGACCAGAGTAAGTTAGACCATAAATTTATATTTACAATCTGACCAGAGCACTAGCAGCTACATGTTCCCAAGGGCTAGAAAATAATTGCACTATTTAATTATTTTTTAGTCAGTTTTGTTATGTCCCCTATGAAAAGGCCATCTGCTATACAGTGCCTTACCTTGCTCAGTGATGTATTTCAGAACCGAAAAAACCAATATATTTATGTAGTCATGTCAGCAATCTGATATGCTGTAAGTAGATCTGATTGCTACTTTTAGGAGGCATCATACTTGGACAACACTTGTCAAATGCAGTTCCCTTCTCTCCCCATTGAAAGATTTTTAAAACAAATCTGAGTCGGGAGGCATAAAAAGAGAAATACTTAGTTAAGAAATGTTTCAGCAGCTCTAATCATTAAGACTCTTGAGTAGATATATGCATTTATGGCAAAAGCATTATGTATCATTCTGCCATATAGGTCTTTTCTTTGTATCCTTTGTGCAGTGACCTGAGATAAAGTTGTTTCTTACTAAATTTTTACTTGATGTAGCAGTATTTAATAAGTAGATAAAGATTAATAAAAACTAGAATATTTTACTATGGTAGCTAGGCTTCAATAAATTAAGCTCTGACTATTCTTAATGCTTCAATGAAAGTTTGCATTAATCATCTCAGAAAGCTAAGCAAGGTGAGACATGGATATACCATCAGGAAATATCATGGTTATAGTCTAGACAAAAAAATGTTGAAAATATTTTGAAAGAAGGCAGTGGCAAAACCCTTCCATTTTGTTGACAAGGACATGTTCATTTGAACTTGATTTGACACAGATTTCACATTTATTTTGTAAAGTAAAAAAATCATCTCTATTTCCGGTTGTTCTTAATTGGTCCAAAGGAAAACATTAGATGCACATATAATCAAATAATTGGCCCAACACACTTTCTGTTGTCTTTGATAGATAAATTCTATGGATAATCTGGAATAAGATTAAATACATATTCTATAGGGTGATTGTTGTTAAATTTTGCTCTGTTAGGAAACATTCAGTATACAAACTGTATAGGTTTAGTCTAAAACAAAATTTTAGGGAAATAAAATTGTGGATTTCTGTTCATGGAATGTAGAATCCCACTTTATAAACATCTAATTATCATTCTTTCCTGGTACTGTCATTATGCTGTTTGAACTATTAAATTCCACTTCCTTCTCTTTTAAGTGATGTTTCTTTGGTACCTTAACTGAAGAATGAAGAGCATTACATATGTAGAGTTCTGATAGTTTTGAAATATAGCTATTGCTGAATGGCTCAAGATGTGTAGTCATATTAAATCAATGCTGGAAAGTTACAACTCTAATAAATTGTATATATGCTAATGGTGAATCTGATTTACTGCAACTATTAAAAGTGAAGAATGGAGCAATAGTCTTCTTAAGTCTGCTGTTCTCTCTGTTTCTCTTTTATTCATTCACAGTATTACAAAACGTGCTGACACTCTCAAGAATTCACAGCATAAATGGTTACAGCATTGAAGTTACATGGGATGAACCAGTTGGGGTCAAAGGTGTAATTGAAAAGTACATTTTGAAAGCTTCCAGTGAAGATGGTTCCAACATATCTGTTGTCAGTACAGAGATTTCTAATACTAGTTCATGTACAGGTATATGTCAATAAATATACCGAAGCTTTAAAACAATAATATAGAGATTAGTTTTTATATGTACTATTTATTGGTGAAATGATTTCCAGGAAATGCCATGTGAGGAAATGAATATCAAAGTGGCATTTCCTGGAAGTCATTTCACCAACATTTTAACTTTTTTGCCAAGGTGCCAAACATATACTCAAATATTGCTTATTAATTGTGTGTTTGTGTTATTCGAAGAAGAACCTTGTATCAACAAGGATAGAGTGCAGTAAAATCAGGACAGAGTTAAGTAGAGAAGAACTCATTTTAGTAACACTCAGATCAAAGAGGAGATGGACTTTGAAAGGGTAGTCTGTTTCAGATCACCATTTTTATCAGAATTGGCTAGACATAAGTAGGCTAAAGCCCAGGATTGCAGGAATTCTTTTTTTCCTGTTCATTTTCGTTTTTGTGAAATTCAGTTTGTTCTCATTAATGTGAATTTTGGAACCATTTTAACCTTAATTCTGAAACTGCAAAATATATATATTAGAAGGCTGGCTTGCAATCCTTCATAAGTAGGGGTTATATCACAGATGCTTTTTTATTTCAGTATAATGGAACTCTATTATCGTGCTTGCTAAAACACATTTCTCTAGCATATATTTAAGCTTATTTTACATTCAAGGAATATGTCCATAGAATGAAAAGGCTGCGCAATTGCCCAGGTGGTAGGGCAATTGCCCATTCCCTCTGCATTATATGATTCTGTTTTTTTCAGTGTGGAAATAGTGATCTAGAAATTGCCTGTTGTAACTGGCAAATTGAGAAGAAACAATGATTACATTGAAAAGCTGATTCTATATGGTGGAGCTGGAATGTCAGGTTATAACCCAGAAAAGTGTTTATTATAAAGGCAATGAAAACATAATGAGTACAATATACTGGAATGGCAGTAAATCAAGGCTAGGTTGATAGATGTACATTGATAGAAAGTAGATTAGGATAGATGATAGATAGGTAGACAGACAGACAGACAGACAGACAGACAGCAAACTGCACTCCTTACTAGTTAAGGTAATGAAATGTTTGCAAGAAAACAAGCAAGCTCAGAGAGCACCAAAGACCTCTCATTTCAACCCTGAGCTATAAATATTCTGATGATAGAAAGATAGATAGATAGATAGATAGATAGATAGATAGATAGATAGATACGTACGTACGTACGTACGTACGTACGTACATACATACATACATGATGGATAATTTCAGCAAATAAGTCTTCAAAAAGATGTCACAGGAGTCCAGGATATACTGCTTGTTCATATAAGAGTTTCTTTTAATGGATCATATTATTTTGCTTGAAAAGAAACATGTTACAGATTACTTTTATGTTTTCATATTTACTGAAAGGGGAACAGGTTTACCCAAAAAAGACTGGAATATGCTTAATGAAAGTTATTGATGCAGTTTTCTGATGAATACATAGGGCTTGCTGTATTGTCAGTAGATGACACAGTGCTGTCCCAGCTATATTAAGGATCTGAGGCATGTAGGTGGCAGAAGACTTTTTTCTTCGTTTCAGTGAAGCATGGAAGCTGATCCTGCTTACCTGGCCCTGTTGACATGATGCTCAGGCTTGTCAGTTTAGAGACAAGAAACAGAAAATATAAAAGGACTTTAAAACCATGCTTGAAGCAAGTCTTGATATAAGTTAAGCAAATGAGGGAATAGCAAATAATAAGTGCAGTGTTTCATCACAAGACTCATTCTCAGTCATGTGAGACTTTATTTGATCCAACATGCTGTTTCCAATAACTTTCAGCAAAATTGAAGGTTTCATAAAACCAATAGCTATTGATTATCATTGCCAGTGATTCTACTAACTTTAAACCTCTTTTTTACTAAAAACAACAACAACAGAACAATGGACCATTCATTGCTGCACTCCCTATTTATTAGGGAATACAGTATCAGTCTAGTATTCATGAATAATAAAATGCTAGATCAGCGGTCTAATATTTCGTCCTTTGAAACTGAAGAAAGAACTTTCTTTGGTGTGACTGAGTCCTCTTGTAATAATGTAGGCTTTATTCGTTTGTTTTGCAGACTGAATTTCAAATTTATAAGTCACCTTGAATGTCCTTTTCAGACCAAAAATAGAATCCAATGAATCTATTTAATCTTCTGCAAGCTTATCAATATTTTTTCCTCCGCAACTTCTTAGACAGCTCTTAAAAATAAATGTGGCTTATATAAGGGAAGGTGGTAGAAATTAGTATGTTAACTTTCCTTTGAGTAAATGTAGTAAGATAGTGTACAGCTTTAAATTTCAAGGAGTGTATTTTTGACTAGTAGGAGATTTAAAGTACATGAGGCAATTTCTTATTGATTTAGAGAGATGGCAAAACTCAAGTTAAAAAGTTTGAAGCTTTGAAAGCATTATGGCCAACTGAATGTTTTCCAAGGACTTTTCACTTCAGCTACCTGATTATACCAGTTTTACTTGCTGTTTGCTTAAATTCACATGAACAGACTTTTGTCAGCACAAATATTTGGAGAATGACAGCTCTGATATCTCCAAGATAATTCTGAACAAACATCAGCATTTTCTATTTATTGCTCACTCTTCCTCATTGATTGTATTCTTAGTTTAAATTGTATCAGTCATCATTTTTGGCAATCAGACAAATAGGTTTTGAAATTAAGTGACATTAAAGAAATGTACCTTATTTTCTAAACATTGGCTAGAATATAAAAGAAAAACTGGACAGCTGTTCTGCAAAATGTCATTGAAGTTCCCGTAAGTTTCAAACCAGATTTGATGGAAGAAGAAGGAAGGAAGGAAGGAGGAAGGAAGGAAGGAAGGAAGGAAGGAAGGAAGGAAGGAAGGAAGGAAGGAAGGAAGGAAGGAAGACGGGGAATGCTTGAGAAGCAAATTTGGAAACTTCTGTATATAGTGGTTTATTGTCTATTACCTTAGTGGCTTAAATACCAAGTCAGTATTTAATAAAATTCTCCTATCGGTTGACATATGCAAGCTGAGTGTGAGCTCTTGTTTCTGAAGAGAAACTTCAACAATAGGAAATCATGGACACATGATTAATTGTAAATCTATTCCTATTGCCACACTTGTGTTTTAAGAACTATAATAGGTACCAAGGCTTCAGATCCTGTGCCTTCCACACAGCAACTCTCGTTCATTCTCACAACAGAGGATGCCATGAAAGACATCCTATGCAAGTGAGCAAGGAAGAGAAAAAATTAGAACACACACACACACACACAAATTATTTAACCATTACTTGACAAACCTTGCTGACTGTGAATGAACGTAATTCACAATCATGTAAATAAAAGAGGTTTTGCTGGGACCAATTCCTGCCTCCTGCTTGTTAAGGGAGCCTAGGTCAGAACACATTCCTTGTACTGTCTGTAGAACAAATGAAGAAACTTTCTGGCAACTCTCCAATATTGTCCAACAATAGTATGGGATATTGAGAGAATCCCTGTGTCTGTGCTGTTTGATTTGTTGCTGCTGTATCAGCTTCCTCACTGTGAGGAATATTTCTCACAGATATTCGTCTTTGAGCTGGTGGTTTCCATCATAGCATTGGTAATGGAGTCCCAAGTAATTGAGACACCTACCATATTGGGGGTTACAGACTGTATCTATTTTTTATCTCAGGATACCTATAATATGATCTGGGTATAGACGACATTTCCAGAAGTCCCTTGCCATAATTAGATCACTCTCTAATTCCCTTACAGTTAATTGGTGCTGCCTTATTTATTTATTTATTTTGTCACATTTCTATGCCGCCCAACTCCCAAGGGACTCTTCTCCTGCCTTCTACTGCAGGAAAGTAGGACCTTTTATATTGGTCTGCCCCAGATGGCTAATGTCACCCAGAGGAGCCTATGTTTCTCTTGAGTATCTGATGGGCAGTTTGACTGATGTTTTGGTCACTGCCTAGAATGGACATGTCACAATGGACTTTTCCCCTTATGCCTCAAAGTGCATCAATCCCAGACCTATTGGCTTTTGAAGGAACTTTGGAAAGTGAAACATCAAAAGAGACACCTAGAATACCATTGAAGGAAGGTAAAGATTGAATCTGATCACAGGCAAGCACATTTTAGGGATTACATTGTGATATAGTTTCCTGATGATACCACCCAACAGGACCAGTATCCTGAAAAAGAGGGATAGATCACAGGATCATCTGCAGATTTACTGAGAGTTGGACAATGCCTAGGTAAGTTCTAGTGAGGATACAGAAGCAACCTTTTATGTGGTTACTGGGAGAGATTTGAAACTAACTTTGGAGGAAGTAGACAGAATCCTCAGTATTCAAAGCTGAGCATCTGTTTATTAAATCCACATCTCCCCTGGTGGCCAAGGGCCACCATGGAGGGTCACTAAGGAGATAATACATGGATAGGTCCATGCTGAAGCATCTGCTTCAATAAGAAGCTGGGTATTTCTCTAAAGAATAAAGATGACCTTGATGAAGATAAGCCAGATTCTTTCTCCAAATGATGAAGCGAGAAGCACAATTCAACTCCAAAAGAAGCTGGAAGAAAACAATTAAGAAACCTCTGTAACATCACAGGAGGGGAAGAAAAGCACTATTAGACTTTTTTCGTCTGATATAGTGAAGATGATAGATCCTCAATTCCTTGAAGCAGAGCTTTCACTGAGGGGTGTTTCATTTTTAATGCTGAATGTGGTTGCACTTCTCTCCTTAAAAAAATGTTTTAAATCTTCGTGCAGCCCATTTTAAAATCAACAAATTTATTTATTTATTTTATTTATTTATTTATTAGATTTTTATACCGCCCCCTCTCCCGAAGGACTCGGGGCGGTGCACAGCCAAAGTTAAAAACATACAATATAAACAATTAAAATACGTTTAAAACAGAATTAAATCTAAAATGGCTCCCCAATTTAAAATGCCTTACCCATACCCCTATAAAAAGACGAATTTAAAATTTAAAAATTTAAAATTTCCACATTTAAAAAGGGGGAA